GCAAAGATATTAATTGATAGGGGAGATGGAATGATATCGTAAAACGAGCTTCATCTACCACTCCAGCGTATTAAACATGAACATTTCGGCTCAAAAGAAATTGTTTACTAAATAACTTCACTTCTTTACACTTTTTCTAATTATTTGTTAGTTTAACAATAGGCAACATTATTAGACGAAATGAATAATTTATGTGAACTGAAAAAAACAACTTGCAACGCAAATGATTAAATTTCACAGTTTCTCGAACAAATTTGTATTTAGACAGGTGATTACAATTATTCGTAGCTGTTCAAAGACATGAAGCATATGAATGGGAAGGCAACACCGAGGACAAATGATCATCAATATAATTATTATAAACTAGTTGCTTTTCCCGCGACTTCGCCCACCCAAATTATGGCCTATATCACCCGTGTATGAATTAGCATCCCGGAAGTGACAGGAGTATTATTATATCGAAGATTACCTTTACAAACAGAGTTATACACTCTATCGCTTTAAAGATAATATTAGTATAGATGTTAGGCCACAAAGTACGAAATCATGCGTTGAGCGAAAAAATAGTTCACAACGTATTGTGGTCACAGTAAAATAACCACATATGGCGAAATTCGTGTTATGGCTCTAATGAAATCGCTTTGTGACATTCACAGAAAGAAAAGCTGCTGAGATCGGTGCAGATGCTATTCGACCTTAACGCGATGTGGCAATGAAGAAAAGCCATGACGCATTCTGAGCCTTAATTAGTTTAACCGTATCACAACGGACAGGATTTTAAATTGTCATAAAATAAAGTTCCTTATAATTTCAAGTATATTAAAAGTATTTTAGCAGTGATATTTTTTTTTTAAATAGTTAAGGCGATTCTAGTTTGCTAACAGTCAACCTAATACGCCTCTCGTCTCGTCTCTCGTAGTCATATCAAACCTCTGATGTGACCTTAACTACCCTAATCGTTTCATTTTACATAATAATTCGCATAAAGCACTTCGCTGGTCGTTGCCGCGGCACGCTCGCTTTGCTAGCACGGCTTGTGCGTTGTTTGTCTTACTCTAACCTCACTCAGCGCGAGCTCCACGAGTTATGTGGGACTCCTCCTGCGGCCCCACCCCCAGAAGGGGGGCTAGGCAAAAAGCAGGAGTATACCCACTAAAACCCACTGATGTCCCTCACGACCCAGACGACGCACGGTAACGGCCCCTATGTGGGCCATATCCCGCACAGTCGACCGGGTTTCGACCCACCCCTTTTACGGGGCGGGTCCCAACACGGGTTAGGGAAAAGGCTCAGGAACATACGAGTCTAATCCCCCAGACAGGACGGGGGGCGTGCAATGCCCGATGAGCGCGCAAACCCACTAGACTGCCCCCTGTCAAGGGTAAAAGATGCGCAATTGGGCATCTCCCACCCTACCCCGTCTATAAGAGGGAACTCACCTTGGCTGAACCCTCGTGAATCCCCCTTCCCCGTTAGCCCCGGATACCAATGTCCAGCCCAGCGTGAGCCAAACCAGTCACCAGTATACCGTTCCTTAGTCACACTCTGATAGTGGCCCCGCCCAGGCCCGATCACCCCACACACCGTTCGGTGTGTGGGGTGATCGGGCCTGGGCGGGGCCACTCAGTCACTCACTCACTCACTCAGTGATCAGTCCGGCCCCGACGGCCCCACTACCAGAGTGCAAGATGGAAAATCCCCTCACCAGCATACGCCGGCCGACTCCTCAGTTTCCCTCACTACCAGCCCTCCGAGCCACCCTGCCGATCGTAACCATAGGGTTGCAAGGCGAGAAGGTAGCCTTCACGGATTCGAGGCCTCGGAACACGAGTACGGGAACACTTTCGTGCTCCCGCCACCAGAGACCCGTCGTCCGGTCCGCACGGAAAGACATGAGACACGGGAACTTGGCTACCACCAGGAATTAGAAGCCCGCAGCCCCCCACAATCCGCATTCGCCGTACCCGGCACCCTCTTTCCGGAGAGGGATGGGGAGGCCAAACGGAGAGCGAGGGGGAGGTAAGTGTAATTGTATATGTGTAAATGTTAAGTGTAAATTGTGTAGTTTGAGCGGGTGTATGCGTGTAAGTATATTTGTATAAGTGAATGAATGTGTAAGTGTGTCTGTATTATGTGAGTGTGTGTATGTGTGTATGAGATACCTATGTCCGCCCCCCGGGACCCCGGGACCGAGCAACCTGCAAGCAGGCTTTCTCCGTCCCGGCGCCCCGGGGGGTCTTACTCTAACCTAACCTAACCCATACGTTATATCTTTTTAATGCTATACAAATTACAAAATTCTTGAACACAAACCTACGTCTATATCGCAAAGCACTAGTCGTTTGTAATCAAATATTAGTTCCATATGCTTCATGGCTTTCCTTTTTTACCACAACGCTTTGAGGTCGAATAGCAAGTCAGCCACAAAACGGATTTCGCTATGTGGATATTTTAGTGCAATACAACGCGTTATGAACTATTTTTCGCTCAATGAGCTGTTTGAGACTTTGAGCGTAACATAGATAAGTAATATCAACTCTTTTTTGCTTTTATGTTTTTAAACCAGGAATGTGCGGAAGCGCCGCAACCGAAACTATAGGAAATAAAAAGATATATCCTTAAACATAATCGAAACCGATATAACAATTCACGAAGATCCGGATACAAAAACATAGCCATAGTATCCCTATTTTAAATTAAAGAGATAGTCGAGGACTAATGATAGAGGCAACGTCTTGATTTTCTTAAAATAAATAAATGAAAATATGAGTGCATTTATGCGGACTAAGTCGCGGTAATACTACAACCATTAAGTATTTTCATTAGCTCATTAAATATTACTTTTCATAACAGTGTCGTGATTACTTACGACAAACATGATAGCGATGATATTTTGTATATAAATAGGTTATTATTATGCCACACGAAATTTATGAATCTCTACTTTCGAAGATTGCCTCTACAAACTTTACCTGTTTATTGTATATGTTTTAAAGGTAATGTTAGCGTCTAATATAGCTTATATTAAAATTTTTATATAGTTTCTTTATTATTATTTTTGGCATTCATCAACATTTAATTAGGCCTGTGTGTAAACGTTTTTAGTTTATGTCAGAACTAGAGCACTAGAGAACTAGAGTGTCAGGCAACTAGAGCTAATATAGTTTAATTATACAATCACTACTTATTTCTTAATCAGCAAACATACTATCTTAAATATAAATATAAAACAACAAATTAATAATAACAGGAATATAAAAATTAAAAGCTTATCTGTGTCCTCATATGAAATTGTTTGCAAAGTTGAGTGCAAACTTTTTGTATTTTAATAGTTATTTCTGTGTTGTTGTTTAATAGTATAAGGAATAACTACGTGTTGTTTTAGTTTTATATTTCAACCTTACAATTTTCATAAAACATATTAGTAGGGTAAAGGAAAGCACGGAAAGTAGAAACCTTAAGAATAACCTCTCTGTGTTCTCTTAATAGATAATTTTTACCCAATAAGTAATACAAGTTTAAGTAAAACAGTAGGATAAAATTGTAATCAATTTAATCCTACTGTATTACTACTGGGGCCACTATGACAATGCATAGTGCCATGTGAACTCGCCTAATGGACTTGTGTATGACCTACAAGTGAAAACAGGTTTCTGTATATATATATGTTCGGTAAATATGAACCATTTTAATTTATATATAATAAACAAAATAAATTTATTGACACTTATTTGAAAATTATTTGATTTATTGTACATATTTGAATTACGCTTTGAATACTTTAAAAAAGTAGGGAAAATAATAAAAATGAAAGTTGGGTTAATACTTGTAAACATACTGCATACTTAATATATACTTCTATTAGCCAAAGTAACAAAACCCTGTTATGAAAATCCAGATTAACGAAAGTATCAAAAATTTTCACAGCATATAAAATAGGTATATAAAAGTTAATTCTCTTCATTGCCCTATCATTTTATACTTTACAGATGGGCGTGCGAGCCTCTCTACCACGGAGGTTCGTCAAGTGTCAACATATCCACAATTAAGAGGATCCCTCAAACATGTTAATTCAAAGCTGAATAAATATCTACTAAAACAAAAATATTTTAAACCTTGTAAACTATAATTAATACTTTATAATCCACACATAGGTACCAGAGACTAAAGCTAAAAGGTACTGTAGTGTAAACAAGTAATCACCACAGTCCTAATGCTAACCGCAAAATTATAAAACAAACCAAATCGTTATACGGTGAGGTTTGACCATACAACACGCGCTACTTATCAAACCGCCAGCCACTGTCCTCATTTCAATTGTTAATATCACATAATGTCTAATTGAAATAAAGGCATCTAATAAAAAAAATACTAATATAGTACATACTCATTATATTCACTCGGTAAATAAAAAATGTAATGTCGTTTTGTCATACCGAAATCAACATCTATTTTAACTACCTATATTGTCGGAATCCTCTAATTTTTAGCTGTTTTACATGAAAACTAGAATAAATGGTTGCTTTATCAATAATATAATAAGTAGAAGTAAATCTGAAGTGAAGCCATCATATAAACGACTTTCAATTAATATACCACATAAACAAAAAAATAATTTGTCAAATAATCACGTTAAACAATCCAGAGATATTACTGAAGCAGCTATACAGCAGTATTTATACCTATATGCAATTGAGTTTCTTAAAAGTAATTAAACTAGCAGAAATTATGGTACAGTGAATCAACTGACGTACGATCGAAATCTCAGAAATCTCGAAGCCATTTCTAGGATATCTGACCTCACACGAGGAAAAAATGTTAATAAGAAATGAATACTAAACTCAAGACAATATTGCATCAAAAAAAAATATTTTTTGCATTAATACTACATGATCAACCATTTCATTTTTAAACAGATAGTATAGCAGCTCTAAATACAAAAATGGAACTGTTTGTGGCTTACAAGATGATTGTGGAAATAAGAAAAATAGTACACTCACCTTCAGCAGGATTTGATACTGCATCGTGTACCAAGGACGCCAGACAGCCTGAGAGACCTGCAACACAACCATTCATGATAATTTTTATAGGTGTTCTTATGTTGTCCTAAACTAAGCAAAGCATATACATATAAAAATAACATATAAACAACATAGATGAACCAGAGCATTAGAAATGGCATTCGTTGGTAAACACATCATTTGAAATGAACTAAGTAGGCATCTTTTTTAAAGTCGTTACAGAGGGAGAGACAGAGAAGTTAGAGATTGGCTCTATCTCTTTTATATAAAATAGATAATAATATAAACACAGATTGTCCATATTAGGTATATTGCAATTTTTTTTTATTCTATTCGCCTGTATATCGGTAATTTTTTTATTCGTCAAGCCAATGTGCATTTCTGCGTATTCAACAGATGTGCATAAATGCACATTGGCGATGTAGTGGATTGATAGAGCGAAATCCCTCCATCGAGAGTGTCAGAATCCGTCTTAGTAAGAACGGCAGCGTCTCAAAGCAGTAAAACAGACTGGAGGAATTACTTTTATCTCCCAATGAAATCAGTAATTAGCTTTTACGGAGAAATCTTCACAGTTCCTTTGAATCTGGGTTTACACTAACATAACATTAATTTTATTATCAATAGTATTAATGGTAGGCTACCTTATTACATATAAAATTATAAAACCAATTGTGAAGATTTCCGAATTTAATGAAGGTGTACTGCTATGTGGTCAGATTAAATTTCAAAAGAAAACAAGTGGAATAAATTGCATATAAAACCAAGAAATGCGCCGCACAACATAAATTGTCATTCAAATCGACCGTCACCACACTGTCAACAATGAAATATGGGTGGAGAAGAAGAATATCTATAAGAAATGGTACCATATACTAGGTACTTTCGGTCGTAATGTTTCTGTAGTTTCTATCACGTCCCCACGACATCCGCTCACTCAAGCCACATCAAAAATCAAAACGGAAGCTATACCGCAGAATAAAATAACTGAAGACGTCATACGTGTTCTTGTATTGTATAATAGGTATATATTTCATTAAGTAAGTGGCCCTTGTATGTCCAGACCAGTTTTACGTAAAAATATGTTAACACATTTGACCGTTTGTCACAATGGTCAAATTATATTAAAGGAACAGTGCCTTTACCATTTTTAAATATAATACTTACTCTAGATTTAATAAATCAATCAGTATACAATGCATATTTTAGTCGAAATAATGGCATAATCTAATCTATTGTATTGCACTGCACTATGATAAAGCGAGCACGGGAAAATGAAGAAAATTGTGTAGGATGATTTTGCTTAGTCCAGTTTTATTTTGTTCTTGTAATTCTGCAAACGACTAGGCGTTTAAGCGAATTTTTGATTCAAAATTTTATTCTGTTATATTTCAGACGTTTATTTCTGTTCAAATTTAAAATGTTCTTAGTTTTTTATCCTTTGAAAGTAGGTTAAAATGTCGGTTGTTTTAAAATTATTAACAAAAAATCAAACAATACTTTTGCTTGTGTTAATGTATCAATTGTAGCAGCATTGTGCGATCATGTCAAGCATCTCTGGGCGTGTGTCGTCAACACGTGAGCCGCTTTTTGCGAGTCGACCTTCGGAGTATGTTAACGACGCTGGCAGCTTGCGCATCGCGCGCGCTCTAACCATACCACTTGCTCTACCTACTAAGCTAAAAAACATGTCTAAAAAGTAGTAAAATAATCATATTCATAGCGTCTTTAACTATCAATAGTTAATCTTCCGCCGAATATATGCATTAGCAATCTTATCAAACAGTTAAACACTGTCTATTGTTCGTAATTTTTCTTGTTAATTTAGCTCCTTAACTGGACCTGGATCTATCCTTAAAAGCTACATTAGCGTACGTGATATTAAACATAGCACATGTACAATTCATGTTACAAAACAAGTGTTTATTGGTATCGAAACAAACTTTGTTTGTATCCAAAAACTTTTTTAACTTCCACTATATGATTGAATAGGTTTAATAACATTTTGTTTTATCGAATATTTGTCATGAGTTTGGTATTGAAATGTTTATTTCTATACTGATTATTGTTTACGCTCTATGAAGGTCTTCAATTATAGTTGTTCTTGATCTACTATTATCTATTATTATATGATTGGAGGATACCGAATATACTCAGCGGATTCGTTTTAAAAAATATACCTATATTGAACGTAAAAAAATACGTTGGACGATTTGGTGTACAATAACTAACCATCGAACCTTTCTGAAGCTGCAGTGAATTATTATATTTATTTACACACCGACAATATAAAAGAAATTGCAGAAGAGATTGATTAAGTATTCATAATGATTCGATTTTATTATATCTCAAAATTCGTTTAAAATACATAGAAGCAAAATAAAACAGTGATCAAAAAAAGCAGCCCTTGCTGTGTTTCTTGCCGGTTCTCCTCGGTACAAGTCAAGAAGAACTGGCAAGAAACACAGATTGCGCCGTAGATTACGAACCGATAGCAGAGCTTCCACTTTCACAAGTGTTTGTAACAGCCTAGACTGGATAAAATGACTTTAATTTTTGATTAGATTGAGATGCGGGAGCAACTGCAGAGCGACCGCCTAACTCTCTAACCTTGATTCTAGCCATAGGATATGATATCTTAGCGATGTTATGACGATATTTCATTTCATTTTATTGCTTTGAATGTATTTTGGTGGAAAAATTCGAGATAATAGGGATGATGACTGGGTAAAAAAAATGCAATTCTATTTAGTCCGTCAGTTAGATAATAGAAAAATATTAGATACGTATTTTTTTTTACTTCAATTTAACAAGAAATAGTTTAGATAACAGGCATTAAAGTTGAGGAGTGGGGGCTCGCTACGTCACAGTTGAGTAGAAAACGTACTCTAACGTGACGTCATGTGAAATTTCAACTCAATGTAACGCCGTAATTTTATGATTACGAAAAAAATTAAAAAATACGTGTTTAATATTTTTTAACACACTACCTGACGGACAAACAAACAAAAATTAGTCATCATCCCTATTGACTCAGTTGGAAACACTGCTGTCAAATCCACATTCATAATTCTTTATTGATGTCGTTACTAAAGTACCAAAGTAATAAAATGAAACGAAATATCGGCATTGATAAGATGTTGCATCCAGTGGCTAGAATCATGGCTTGAGAGTTAAGCGGTCGCACCCCTGATCTAGTGTTTTTTTATTATTTTACCGTGTGTGAGATGCTCGTGGCGATGCCTGGTGAGATGGGCGAGGGTCTGTTTGCTGTGCTCGTAGGTGGCGAAGAAACATGCGTGCGCGGGGCCAGCGCCCAACACCACCGCCGACATGCCACGCACGGGCCTGTAAAACACACACTATGCTTACAAAAACAACTCATCGAATAGGGAATATTACGCAAAGTGCGGCGTAGGCAAGCAAATGTGGTAAACAAACAAACATTTTTGAACATTTTGTCTATTAGAAATGAATGACTCTTCCCTTTACATCTTTCCCTTATTAGTTAAATCATACTCATTATAATTATACATTCAAAAAATATTAAATTCCTACTACTCACTTTTTCTTACTCTGCGAATGACGTTTATAAAAAAATGTTTACTACATGTGCTAAATAAGTGCTACAATTTGGCCACTGAAGTTGCAGTAATACATCCTATTAAGACTAGGCGTATAGAATCTATCAATGGTTACTTGAGCCGTCCGCCATTTTAGATTGTAAATAATATAACTTGGCTAATCATATATTGTCATGCTAACTAAACCTATTTGATTTCAAATTAATCGGTAGCTGGATGATAATTGCCTTAACATTGAGTTGCAAAATTTGACGAAGGTAAAATTTTACTAAGAAATGTATTTTACTTGTATCTGAGGCTAATCAGTTTCTGTGGTATTTCTGATTAAAAAACTTGCGAAGTAAAACACTGACACAAAATATTCTTTATTCAAAATAGAGCTTATTAAAAGCACTTCATTATAACGTTCGTTAAGTGAAGTAAAACCCTCTTATATTTCGGTCCAGCTTGCCGGATCGAAGTTTGGTTTTAGTGGAGTTGCAATTTGGTTTCGCAGTATATCCCCGGATACTGGTTTTTTGTATGATAATCTAGTTCAAGCGTAACTTCGACGGGTATTGTGTAACTATATTTATTGTATAAAGAAGGAAATTCGGCGGAATGAATTCTACATATCCAGTTAACACACTTATAATAAACTGCCTATCCTTTTAATTATTTACTTCATAAGGAATATTTACTTTTTCTGAAATATTTGCCGTAATTACACCCGGTAATTGCTCCCGTTTAATCTTCTTTTCCAAAAATGATTCAGATAGAGATATCCCCAATAAGATAAATAGGAAAATGTTGTAATATACAAGGGCAACATTGTGATTAATTTCTTTCAAGATTATTTTACGAATTCAAGTTTTTACCGTGCCAAAACCCTTGGACATATGATATAATTATCCACCTTCCTATTTTGATTTCCACCTTATTTGGACGTTATTTCTTGGTAAGACCAATAAAAATATAACAAACAATATATTATATATCGCACCCTCGGTGCGACACTGTCACTTTTGCAAAAAATTCAACAATTAGTTAAATATGTAATAATTGTCCTAAAGCCCCCTTTACTTCGTGCGATAATGTTACTTTTGTAGATTAATCATACAGAACTATGTTCCGTATGATTCATCTCATCTGTATCTTCTAAAGTCATTGTTTTGTGAGGTGGCAGAGTTTAAAACTCTTCTCCTGAAAAACTAAATTTTTGCATAAGTGACCGTGTCGCACCGGGAGTGCGATATGTTAACTAAACATTGCTTGTATTATATTATCTTAGACCAGATATCTTCTAAACTAGTCAAATAAGACGCTATATAGACGCCCTGGATATAATGGTCAAATTTAGCTCTTAAGATTTTACCTTAAACACGGCAAATAACGAAAAGCTTAAAATCTAATTGTTGAAATCATTTGAAATCAACGCTGCCTATTTAATAAAGTTTATTTAGGAAAACTAGACAAACATACATAGATATGTAATTACAAATTGAAAATTTAAATTAATAAAAGCAAGTACAATTATCATATTAAAAACTAGCGACTTCTTTTGACAGCAAGTTCAAAGCTTTATTCCAAGAAGTCTATAGTATTATAACTCTATCTATTCGCAGGGAGAACGCATTCATTATGCACATTGCGTGCGTACAGCGAATCGCACCGTGCGTTATGATCATACGCACGAGGATACAGGAAATTAGGATTGCAAGCCCGCTAGTCTCTCGTTCTCGCTTTCACCAATATAATAAAGACCCTCTAGAAGCGCTTCCATATCACGCAGATACGTTCTGGGTTTTACTTAGTTCTACAGTTCTATAAAAAATTTCCCACGTATATTTGAAACGAAAAAATTCAAATATATTGTGGATTCACGTGACAGGGTATTGGCCTTAATTCATATTATGCACTATTTTCAAATTTCAGCCACAATTTGAGATTGTAGTCATAAGTAGGTCGAGTAAAAATATCTCTATCCTAATAATAATATTTTCCTTGGTACTTATGCCAAACTATTCAATTCGTTCTTTGTTTTAAGCATTGTTACTGAATTCCTAGATACGTAGAAGAGTGAAAGTAACTTTACACCACTTCTGCACCTTACCTAGCTGCACCTCGTACTGATGTCCTTGGGTAGTTTAACCAGTAAAGGTTTCTACAATTTCTATTGCTAAATACAGAGCGGTCGCTGGTTTACGATTATATTTAACAAGTGTGTCCGGATCATGCCTTTTGAACATGCAATCTTGAACGAGTAGCACCACAATGGTAGTAAGGTTACCCACTCGTATTAAATTATAGAGCATCCTACAATAATTTAGTCAATTGTACTTTGTTAACGAAAAATTATATAGGTAGTACGAAAACTACTATATTTTAATCCTTAATTCAACGATTGTTCGTTTTATATTGACAGTGTCTAGATCTCATTCACTGTACAGCATAAGGAAGATGAGAAATAAATATGGTCATTTTGAGAGATTACAGTTTCATATAATTTTCTCTGTATAATACTCTGACACTATCTATAATGTTAGTCTAACTGTTATTTAAAAACCTATAGCATAGTCGAGCTGAGAATTAACCTCTCAAATATAGAAACAAATAATCTGATCATTTGTAGTTTTTTCAAAGATATAAGTTTTAGAAAAAAGTCTAACTGCAGGATTCTTTTTAACTGTGTTGGCAATAAACATCTTTGTAAGTAATCAAATGGCACATAAAATTTAATATATTTAATCAAACACACTAACATTGTGTAATCTAAGCACTGAATAAAAATATAACTAACTACTAAAGCGCAGCGCAAAAATAAAATCCTTTGCAATGAACGAGTCATTGATAACATTGTTCAAGTGGATAACAAACAGTAGGAATATAGATATTATGAAAGGTTCATTAGCGAGGTAAAGGTTTACGTTATAGTTGTACGTTTCACTTGTCTTGTGAAAAGATTCGAAAAAAATCTACATATTTATATCATAAAGCTGAAGTTTGTATGGTCGCATGCGCTGATCTCAGGAACTACTGGTACCAATTAAAAAATATTCTTGTGTTGAATAGTTCATTTCATCATTCTATGACTAATAGGAGTGAAGCAGAAATAATAATCGCTGCATAAAGGGGAAACCAAGTGGGCGAAAAGCTACTATATAAAGATTTAAAGGGAGGGTTTGTGTTCAGCCTTTTTATCAGTATATAATTAGAAGAACGACTTGCTGTTTTTTCCACATGACCATGAATTAATAACAATATTTAGTATCAAAAGCTACAATAATCCAAAAGAAGAAAGGCCTATTTGAGTTTCAACAAAAGTTTACTGTTAACGAAATGTGGCCTCAATTCAATACACTTTAAGGGTAGTCGCGATGACTGCAGCGTTTGACGTTTTAGAAACTCAACAGTAGGTTGAGGACCAAGGTCATCTCATCGATGACTCAGCTTGTTATTGGCATTTACTTATTAAACGGCCTATATTTATATGCCAATCGATTACAATAACGTCAGTCGTGTGAAACTGTGCCAGTTTAGTTTTCGAAGAGACGTTTAGATTTCACGACTGGCCAACGGCCGGTGTATTAACTAGGAGCAGCTCACCTTGATCCAAGTCTCAGTTAATTTTACGCTTGTCACTGGTTGAAGTTTATTCATCTCTAAGGAACCTCATAGAATTAGTTGAACTTTTTTAACGTACTTCACACATAAAATTTCCCATTTAGAAATAATAATATATAATATTCTCACACTTAAAATATCAATATGAGAATGTGATACGCATTTTTCTAACATCTAGACTGTGATAAAAATGGATTTGTATAGTATAATTAATGTGTTATTTTAAAATAAGAAATCACAAAATTATGGACCATTGCATTGTCATATTAACGTGAGAATATTATTATATTGTACTTATTTTGTATTGTCCTTATCGTGAAGCGACGACTTCATTAAATGCTCGTTTAGCAATATGCCCCGTTTGAAACGTTAACGATGACAATGATAAAAGTAACCACAGATTAAAGCAACATTAAGTGGTTAGGTTTATAATCGATAGTAACTGCATGGAGATATCGACTAATTTTTATACCAGTCATTAGCACGTGTTCAATTTCTCACATCCTGCACTGAAAAAAAAAATCGGCAAAATATACCGAAATTTCGTTATAGTTTATTGATTTGCGCAGTTAAAATGGAGCGAACTGCATCAAGTAGTTGTTTTAACCTAATGAAAACAGTAAGGTAATAACGGTTAATTTAACTGAGTACCCTTAACTGTTTCAGCGAATTCGATCGGTAAAGTGAAACAGTAAAATAAAACAGTAAGTGGAAACAGTAAAATAAAACAGTAAGTGGAAACAGTAAAATAAAACAGTAAGTGGAAACAGTAAAATAAAACAGTAAGTGGAAACAGTAAAAAACATCAGTAAGAGGAAACAGTAAAAGGAATCAGTAGCTCTTATCGATTGGTAAGCAGTGACTTTTACTGTTTAGCAACAGTGCTGCTACTGTTTTGTGTGTAGTTACAACTGCGTCTTCTTATTAGCAATTACTGTATGCAAACATTATTATAACTGTTGAAAACTGCCCGCTACCGTTTTTAAAGTAGTTATTACAGTTTCTCTCAAGTAAGTGGTACTGTGTGAAAAAGTAGTTATTACTTCTTAAAACATTGCCACCTACCGTTGTATAAGTAGTTACTACTGTTTTACTATGGTAAGGGGTACTGTATGAAAAGGTTATTGCAACTGTTGAGAACATTCCCAGCTACTGTTGTAG